TTAAAAAAAATAAAATATGGCACGACAATTGATGATTCATCATTGAAACACATTATTCTTTGAATCGGGCAAGCTAATAGCCAGTTTGGTGTCGTGGTTAAGTGCGTGGACTCTAATCTGCGAGAACCGGGTTTGATTCCCCACTCCTCCACTTGCACCTGGCTGGATGACTTTGGACAGCGTGTGGTTGGCGGACAGCACTGTGGTTTATTAGAAGAGTCACAAAAGTGAAGAAGAGATTGGATTTATATCCTGCCCTTCACTTGTAGTCTCAGAGCAGTTTACAGTCTCCTTTACTTCCTTTCCCCACAACAGACACCCCGTCAGGTAGGTGGGGCTGAAACAACTCTTTCAAGAACGGCTTGTGAGAGAACAGCTCTAAGAGAACTTGTGACTGACCCAAGGTCACACCAGCAGCTGCATGTGGAGGAGTGGGAAATCAAACCCGGTTCTCCCAGATTAGAATCCGCATTCCTAAACACTACACCGAATTGGTTCTCAGAGATTTAGTATTAAAATACTAACCAGGGCTGACCCTGCTCAACTTCCGAGATCTGATGAGATCGGACTAGCCTGGGCTATCCAGGTCAGGGCATGTACTATACAGACAGAGAAATCTGACACCCTCCCACAGGTAAAGCTGCACCTGTGGGGAAAAGACAGGCAATGTGCTCTGAGCAATCTGTAGCCTCGCTATAATATCGTATTTACATGCTAGGGGTCAATACTCCGAATGCTTGTACCGCACAGTCCTTCCATTGGCTGCTTGTGCGAATGGCAGCAAAGAAATCTCCTTGATATTTCGGCCTTCGGCACGCTCCTTTTGCATGTACACCGTTTTCTCGAAAATTCTTCACCGTCTCCTAATTAACTAGCAGTTTTAATTAGGGTTTTGAAAAGGAGGCGGCGGGCAAATTAATCCTGTTGATTCCATAAATTAGATTTCGGTCTCCACCAAGACTGCGGTAATGCTAATTTTTGTTTTCAAACAACCCAACCCAGATTAAATAAAATTGCAAAGTGGAAAATGCATTTTCTTCTCAACTTCTTCTCTTTTTTTGTAGTTTGCCTTATGATTAATGCACGCTATTAAGTAGAGTCATGGGAAGGTGGATTCTCTATTTTCATTAGTCTCTGGCAGACCTTTCCCATTCTACCCTCGCCCCGTTCTCTTTTTAATTGATCGTGCCGAACATTTTCCCCCCCAGAGGGTTCATGGTCCCCTGTAGTCTTCACAAATGAACCCTCTGATGACAAATGCAATTGGGCTTCCAGGATCAGAAACCTTTCTTTAAAATAAAATAAAAAGTCTGGCTCCTCCATGGGGGTCATAGAGACGAGACAGTTCCTAGAGTGGACCTCAGGAAGAGGTTCTTAGGCAAATGGGCCTTGACTTTGCAACTTTGCCTAGTAGCGATCGTGGCCCAGGCTGGCCCGAACTGTCAGATCTCGGAAGGGTCGGCCCTGGCTAGCATTTGGATGGGAGACCTGTCAAGGAATCCCCAGGGCGTGACGTGGAAGCAGGCCATGGCAAACCACCTCTGAATGCCTCTTCCTCGAAAACCCTGTGGGGTCGCTCTAAGTCAGCCGTGATTTGCTGGCCGACCCCCCCCCTTCCCCCCAGCTCTGCATTGAGCGGGTTTGAAATGGCTTGTTGGTCTGCACCTTATAGTAAAGGTAAAGGTCTCTCTTGCTCGAAAGCCAGTCGAATCCGACTCTAGGGTTGCGGTGCTCATCTCCATTTCAAAGCCGAAGAGCCAGCGCTGTCCAAAGACGTTTTCCGTGGTCATGTGGCCGGCATGACTAAACACCAAGGTGCACAGAACGCTGTTACCTTCCCACCGAAGTGGTACCTGTTTATCTACTTGCAATTTTTTGCTTTCGAACTGCTAGGTTGGCAGGAGCTGGAACTAGAGACGGGAGCTCACTCCGCCATGCGGCACCCGGGTCTCGAACTGCTGAACTACCGACCTTCCGCAGCCTGCAGTTCAGCGTCTTAACCACTTGAGCCACCACAGCTCAAGTTGGTCTGCACTTTATAGGAGGAAGGAAATACGGGGCTCTTCCACAAGGAAATATGCCGGATGTACAGCACTGTGATATCAAACTGATCACCAGAGGGAGCAAAATGTATGTGGAAAGGGGGAAAAAACAACAATCCCAAAGAAATAGGGGCACACAGGTGACCGAAATGAGAATACAGAAGAGCCCATACCCTTTTGCCTCATTTCTAGAGATGGGCAACTTGCGCTCGAATCTGAAATGGCACTCTATTTATGAGCATCACCTGTGAGGGCACATAATTTTTTTTTTAAAAAAACTTCTGCATGCTTATAATTTGCTGTAAACTGCTGTGGCCAAGTGGCTACCTCACTCTAGTGCCACCTGTTTTGCTAGGGGGTGGATACAGGTAGGGCCTTTCCACAGACTCCACCCTACCAGCTGGCTGCCCCTCCTTTGCGCTGCCACCAGTTTCCCTTTCTTTCTTTCTTTCTTTCTTTCTTTCTTTCTTTCTTTCTTTCTTTCTTTCTTTCTTTCTTTCTTTCTTTCTTTCTTTCTTTCTTTCTTTCGTATTTTTGTGGGGGGTTTTCATATGTGCGTGTGTGCGTGCACCTGGAAGTCATGGCGACCTCTGGTGACTGACCCCTACTGGGGGCCTGGAGGATATTCAGAGAGGTGGCTGAGTAAAGCCTGCCCCCACCTCCCGGCTGCTGGTATTCCAAGGAGGTCTTCCATACCCAAGTACTTGCCAGAGTCGACCCTGCTTAGCTTCCGAGAGCTTCCGAGATCGGGCTTGCCTGGGCTATCCAGGTCAGGGCACCACCAGTTTTTCTTTCAGCTGCACCTCTGAGAAGGCAGAATCAGAATTTACTGAAGCTTACACTGAAAGCTGAGCTTAGGAACGGATCGCTTCTTGCCTTGTTTTTGGCAAGGGAGTAACCGGCATGAGAGGTTAACAGGATAATTAAACCAACGGCTCTTTAAGAAGAAACAATTCATTATGAAGGCGGGAAAGGCAGATTATCCAAGTTTATGCCCCTAATATAATTTGATTCAAACGTACTTCTCTGCCCCAGCGACTCAATAATCTAAATTAACTGTAACAGCTCTCAGCCATCTAACAAATTCTGTCACTTTTCTGATTTGTACAATCCTTTAACGGTAAAACATTTTTTCCTTTCAAGCTCCCTGGACTCAATCGCTCTCTCCCCACCAGTTAAATTCCCACCAATTGTGCAGGAGGTCTTTTCCAAACAATAAAACACTGGGTTGCAGTTAACAATGAACAGAGCTTGGCATCCATCCTAAACATACCTATTAAAACCTGCAACACAGACCTAAAACTGGCAAAGTGATCGTAGAATCACAGAGTCGGAAGGGGCCAGACAGGACATCTAGTCCAACCCCCTGCCCAATGCAGGATCAGCCTAGAGCATCCCCGACAAGCGTCCATCCAGCCGCTGCCTGAAGACTGCCAGGGAGGGGGAGGCTCACCACCTCCCCAGGCAGCCCATTCCACTGCTGAACTACTCTCACTGTAAAACTACTTTCACGCCTCCCTATTTTGTGTGCTGTACGTGTACGCCATTCATGCTCACACTTCTTTGACAGCGGGAAGGGGCATGTTGCCTAGGCTTCACAGCTACTGTGCTGTAACAGCTCTCCAGTTGCACAGATAACAGCCACTTCCCACCCTGGCTTGAGCCCGTTCTGAAGTTAATTAATTAATTATCATATGGCACTGTGTGTAGAATAACCAGGAGATCCTAAGATTGTCCGGCAGCAACAAGTTCTAGTTCTTTTAGCATTATGCACCACTAGGTGGCGAGCTAGACTTATTTTTAAGGCAAGAGACGTTTCAGAGGTGGTTTGCCATTGCCGGCCTCTGCGTCACAGCCCTGGTATTCCTTGGAGGTCGCCCTTCCAAATACGAGCCAGGACCGACCCCGCTGAGCTTCCGAGATCTGATGAGATCAGACTAGCCTGGGCCATTATCGCCAGGTCGGGGCTTGTTCTGAAGTGGTTGTGTTCTCTGTTTCCCCACACCATCGGGCCGCATTCATGCACCTCGTAAGGTTTCCCCAATCTCCCTCAAGCCTGCTTTTTTTCTGACATTCTGTGCAAGATTGCAACAAATCCTTCCATGTGAGAAGGAAACGTCAGATTCTCCTGGTCCTGCCCACATGACAGCCCCTTTCCCTATAGCAGCCATTTCTTTCCATCACCATCAAGTCGGGGTATTTTTTAAAAAATGACAACTATCATTATATTGATATATTGTTACAATAATATGTGTAACAAATTCTCAGAATCCCCCAGCTTCCATTTAAAAAGTCTCTAGCCCTTTTTGTTGCAGAGATATAAGGGGAAAGGTATATCTCTATGATGAAAGAAGCTAGAGACCTTAAAAAAAAAAAAGAAAACTCGGAATTCATAAGGAAAGAGCAAAAGTCCAGGAGCACCTTAAAGACTATCAAAATATGTGGCAGGGTACAAACTTCTGTGAGTCACTGCTCACTTCTTCAGATACAGCTAGAATGGATTTCAGATGCCGAATGACATTAGCAGGCAAACGACAAGAGCAAGCGTGATTGGATTTAGGTGAGATATGCAGAGGGGTAGTAGGCGTGGAGAAATCAGCATTGGTAATGAGACAGGAAACCTAGTGGAAACCTAGTCCAGGTGGATACATTGTGTTGAGCTTCGTTATCGATTGCAATTCAGCAGTCTCTCTAATCTCCCTTTGAAATTCAGAGAACCTGTTACTCATATTGTTATAATTTGATACCAGTATAACAATATACAAGTACCAATTTTTTTAAAAAGTCTTGATGGTGTGTAGAGGGATGACCACTGTTGGGAGACCAGGGCATAGTAACTATGAGTACAGCTGACATGTGGCATCCAGCTGTGTCCTATCAGACCAATACCACTGAAATCAATGAACCAAAGGACTTCGACACTGGTTGGACTCTGCCCCATGCATTTTACTTTGTTACCTGAGGGCTTGAATATAACAATCCTGTAGTTTTGTGTGTGATTATTGCAGCGTTCCCGGGGATATTTCTCGCCAGTACTGGAACTTTTAGATCCATTGCCTGAAAAATTGTACAGAAGAGGAAAAAATACTTCATTGTGATTGGGACTTTGCAACAGAGGGGACAGCTGCTGCAAAGAAAGAGCCAGAATTTCCAGAAATTCATTCAAAATGAAAAAACATTTCAATTTTCTCTAAACCCCACCCCATGCATATTTCACTAATAAGATAAAATAATTATGAGAGTAGCAATAAAAACACACACACAAAATCCAGCATCCAGAATATTTCAGCGTTGTGGCCTAGACAAATATACACTTGGAGGTTAAGAACATAAGAACATAAGAGAAGCCAGTGTTGGATCAGGCCAATGGCCCATCCAGTCCAACACTCTGTCACACAGTGGCCAAAAATACCGGGTGCCACCAGGAGGTCCGGCAGTGGGGCCAGGACACTAGAAGCCCCTCCCACTGTGCCCCCCCCCCCAAGCACCAAGAACACACAGCATCACTTGCCCCAGACTGTGATTCCCTATCTATACGTTGTGGCTGACGGACCTCTGTTCTATACATTTATCCAATTCCCTCTTGAAGCTGTCCATGCTTGTAGCATGGGGCAGTGAATTCCATGTCCGCATATAAGCCTATAATTAAGATGATTTGTTTAACGTACAACTACTTATTTATGTTTGTACCCTGCCTTTTGTTCTATGGAAGCTCAGAGTTGGTATATTGAAATGTCTCTTTTTAAAAGACATACACACATCGACTCTTATTTGGATAGTTTTTCTTGTGTATCATCTCCGTGAGCTTTTCCAGTTTTTTTTCCCCATGAGAGTTTCTGTTTTCACTGCTACTGTTCCCAATTTCCTTGCTCCTCTGACACCATTTTCATGCGGTTTATAATGGACACATAATTTTTTAAAATTATTTATTTATTTAACGGGGGGGGGGGGCAGCAATGAAAAATAGAATGAAAATAATTCTGGGAAGGGACCCCTGTGGCATAGTGGTTAAGAGCACTGGACTAATATCTGGGAGACCCGGGTTGTAGGACTAGTATCTGGAAGACCTGGGTTCGAATCCCCACCTCATGCCATGGGAGCTCGCTGGGTGACTTTGGGCCAGTCACACTCTCTCCACCTCACCTACCTCACAGGGTCATTGTGAGGGGGAAAATGGAGGGGAGGAGACTGATGTAAGCCATTTCAGGTGCCCATTAGGGAGAAAGGCGGGCTACAAATGAATTAAATAAATAAATAAGAAGTATCATCAAAACTGGGACTTCTGATTCAAAATGGTGGGGTTCTAAAAGTTGGTAGCATCCCTCCCATTCCCCCCCCCCACAAAATCACCAACCCTGCGAGGTAGAGTGAGCGAGTGGTCCGAGGACACAACTTAAATTAAATTATCACATTTTAAATAGTAGGGGTATTTAAAATGAGATTTGTCATAGTGATCACTTATTTGAAGTAGTCAGTCGGGAAATACGTCCTCTTTTTAGTTTTCAAAATATGGTAACTTTATTTGCCACAGTGTATAGATGGAACACTCTTGGGCAGTGATGCTCTACATTCTGGTGCTTGGGGGGGCCACAGTGGGAGGGCTTCTGGAGTTTTGGCCCTGCTGGTTAACCTCCCGATGGCCCCTGGGTTTTGGCCACTGTGCATCACAGAGTGTTGGACTGAATGGACCACTGGCCTGATCCAACAGGGCGTCTCTTATGTTCTTATGTCTGGGGCAGTGATGCTCTGTCTTCTTGGTGCTTGGAGGACAACAGTGGGAGGGCTTCTGGAGTTCTGGTCCCACTGGTGGACCTCCTGGTGGCACCTGGGTTTTGGCCACTGTGTGACACAGAGTGTTGGACTGGATGGGCCATTGGCCTGACCCAACATGGCTTCTCTTATGTTCTTACGACACCAAGTGAGCAGCGCAGGGAGCTGTATCTAGAACTCTGCAGTCTAACAGCTGGGGAAGCAAGAGACTGAGACAATCCAGAGACTGATAAAGTGAGATCTGGGGGTCTCTTGGGGGCAACCAAATATACAAGAACCAAAGGGGTTGCTACTGCCACCACACCTCCTTCCCCCACCCTTCCGTAGTTTCCCCCGTAAACAAGCCACAAACGATTTTCTCGCGACATAACTGAAGAAGTGAGCTTGGACTCACAAAAGCACATCTTGAACTAAACACCGTCAGTCTTTAAGGTATCACAGAACTCTGGTTTTATTGTGCCAGGCCAAAGTACCATGGCTACCCCCGTGAGAATTAAGTCATCCTTAACTTTATGGAGGTGTGATGTTATGGCCCATAGCCACCCAGCGACTTTCATGGGGATCTGAACTCGGCTCCCAAAACCTTGGCCCTACACTCCAACCGCCATACCACACTGATATGCACTGTCTTCTGCTATGTTCTGTTATGTGAAAGTTTTAAAGCAGGATAGACATTTTTTCCCCAAATAAATAAATAAAATACTAAGTATTTTAAATGCAAGGGTCATTTCCTGCGGGAGCGCGCAGCAGTAAGGAGCCCAGGGGGCGGGCACATGCAACAAGCCCCGCCCCCTACTCCCAGCAGTCCTCAGTTGGGCCACAAGGAGCAAGAAGCAGCCAGGTAAGTTGCAGAGCCCCCCCCCCCGGCCCGCCTTCAGGCACAAGCTCCCCCTCCTCTGTAAGGGCAGATCTGCGCATTCCGCCCCCCCCCAAAGCTAGCAATCCATAAGAGTCCAAGGTTTAAGACCAAGGTTTACTCAGGTACCAGCTCTCCCTCCTCTGTGAGGACAGTTCTGTACGTTCCCCCCCCCCATAGCTAGCAATCCAAAACAGTCCAGTGGCACCTTTAAGTCCAAGTTTTGTTCAGGTACCAGCTCTCCCTCCTCTGTGAAGCCGAATCTGCACGTCCCCCCCCCCAATAGCTAGCAATCTAAAACAGTCCAGTGGAGCCTGAGCGGTGGGTGTTGCCTTCTGACACACTTCCGGTGATGTCAGGGGGTGTGGCATATGCAAATGAGTTGCGCTAACGAGTTGTGCTAATGAGCTCCTGCACCTCCTTTTTCTACAAAATGACCCCTGTTTAAATGTGTGCCAAGATGGCCAGCTTTTCTTTACCTTCCCTCACAAAACCCCTCCCGGGCATCAGGTACATCTCTATCATCCCCAGGGAAGCCCGAAAATCCGCTCGCGTACTTGTCAAGAGGAACGCCAGCCTGAGATTTTAATTACTGCCGCCCGGCTTCAGAAAAACCTGAAACATGCAGCCTTTTGAGTGCTTAATGGCTCATCTGGTACAATTATCGCAGTGTCAGACAACAGAGAGAAATCCACTCGCCAGGTTGTTCAATCCATACTGATTCACTGGCACTTAGGAGAGAATGCACTTTTAATTAATGTCATTATGGCTTCCGATGGGGGGAAACGAGTTCCCCGTGGTGTAATAGGCTTGGAAGGAAAGCATGAAAGGGGGGGGGGGAGGAGAGTAACCGATCAGGTTCTTGGGGCTTGTGTGCCCACACGCTGGGGTAGGGGGTTGCACCGTTTAATCAATTCCGCACTGACACGGATCGATCAGAAAAGTTTTCATCCGCTAAAAAAAGGTGCCCTCAAGTAATTGGGAAACAGGCTTTAAAAAAAAACCCATGTGTTATTAGTTTCAATGCAAGCAGGGGAGCGGCCCGTGGCTCGGTGGTTGAGCATCTGCTCAGCACGCAGAAGGTCCCAGGTTCATTTGTTGTTGTTGTTCAGTCGCACAGTCGAGTCCGACTCTTCGCGACCCCATGGACCACATCATGCCAGGCCGTCCTGTCTTCCGTCGTCCTCCGGAGTTTGCTTAATTTCATGTTCGTTGCATCGATAACACTGTCCAACCATCTCATCCTTTGCCATCCCCTTCTTCTTTGACCTTCAATCATTCCCAGCATCAGGGTCTTCTCCGGTGAGTGCTCCCGTTTCATTAGCTGGCCAAAGTATTTGAGCTTCAGTCTCTGGCCTTCCAGGGAACAGTCAGGGTTGATTTCTTTGAGGATTGACTGATTCAATCTCCTTGCAGTCCAAGGGACTCTCCAGAGTCTTCTCCAGCACCATAGTTCAAAAGCATCTATTCTTTGGCATCTGGTCTTCCTTATGGTCCAACTCTCCACCCAGGTTCGTATCTCCAGTTAAAAGGATCATGCAGTACACATGGACAGAGAATCATAGACTCACAGAGTTGGAAGGGGTCCTACAGGCCATCTAGTCCAACCCTCTGCTCAGTGCAGGATCAGCCTAGAGCATCCCTGACGAGTCTTTGTCCAGCCGCTGCTTAAAGACTGCCAGGGAGGGGGAGCTCACCACCTCCCTAGCTGCCCATTCCACTGTTGCACAACTCTTCCTGTTTCCCCTAAGATCCGGCCGGTACCTTCCCGTCCTTAATTTAAACCCATTTTTGCGAGTCCTCTCCCCTGCTGACAACAGGAACAGCTCCCGGCCCTCCTCACAGGAAGTTGCCTGATACTGAATCAGACCACTCATTCATCAAGGCCAGTATTGTCTATTCAGACTGGCAGCTGCTCTCCAGGGTCTCTGGCAGAGGTCACCGACTGCCTGGTCCTTTTACCTGGAGACTCTGGGGATTGAGGAGCTGTGGTGGCTCAAGTGGTTAAGACGCTGAACTGCAGGCTGTGGAAGGTCGGTAGTTCAGCCGCTCGAGACCCGGGTTGCCGCATGACGGAGTGAGCTCCCGTCTCTAGTTCCAGCTCCTGCCAACCTAGCAGTTTGAAAGCAAGAAATTGCAAGTAGATAAATAGGGACCACTTTGGAGGGAAGGTAACAGCGTTCCATGTTTAGTCATGCCAGCCACATGACCATGGAAACGTCTTCGGACAGCGCTGGCTCTTCGGCTTTGAAACGGAGATGAGCACCGCAACCCTAGAGTCGGACTCGACTGGCTTTCGAGCAAGGGAGACCTTTACCTTTACTCTGGGGATTGAACCTGGGACCTTCTGCACGCAAAGCAGATGCTCTACCACTGAGCCACAGAATCTCCCCAGGCAGCAGGTGACACGAGATCATGGAGAGTGGCTTCT